ATATCATACTGAATGGGCAAAAACTGGAAGCATTCCATTTGAAATCTGGCACCAGACAAGGATGCCCTCTGTCACCACTCCTATTCAATATAGTACTGGAAGTTCTAGCCAGAGCAATCAGGCAAGAAAAAGAAATAAAGGGTATTCAAATAGGAAAGGAGAAAGCCAAATTGTCTCTATTTGCAGACGACATGATAGTATATCTAGAAGACCCCATCGTCTCAGCCCCAAAACTCCTGAAACTGATAAGCAACTTCAGCAAAGTCTCAGGATATAAAATCAAGGTGCAAAAATCACAAGCATTCCTATACACCAATAACAGACTTAAAGAGAGCCAAATCAAGAACGAACTGCCATTCACAATTGCTACAAAGAGAATAAAATACCTAGGAATACAACTAACGAGGAACGTAAGGGACCTCTTCAAGGAGAACTACAAACCAGTGCTCAACGAAATAAGAGAGGACACAAACAGATGGAGAAACATTCCATGTTCTTGGTTAGGAAGAATTAATATCATGAAAATGGCTATACTGCCCAAAGTAATTTACAGACTCAACGCTATCCCCATCAAGCTACCATTGACTTTCTTCACAGAACTGGAAAAAACCACCTTGAACTTCATATGGAACCAACAGAGAGCCCGCATAGCCAAGTCAATTCTAAGCAAAAAGAACACAGCAGGAGGCATCACACTACCGGACTTCAAACTATACTACAAGGCTACAGTAATCAAAACAGCATGGTACTGGTACCAAAACAGAGCTATAGACCAATGGAACAGAACAGAGGCATTGGAGGCAACACAACATATCTACAACCATACAATCTTTGATAAACCTGACAAAAACAAGCAATGGGGAAAGGATTCCCTGTTTAATAAATGGTGTTGGGAAAACTCGCTAGCCATGTGCAGAGAGCAGAAACTGGACCCCTTCCTGACTCCTTACACTAAAATTAGCTCCAGATGGATTAAAGACTTAAACATAAGACCTGGCACCATAAAAACCCTAGAAGAAAATCTAGGAAAAACCATTCAGGACATAGGTGTAGGCAAGGACTTCATGACCAAAACACCAAAAGCATTGGCAGCAAAAGCCAAAATAGACAAATGGGACCTAATCAAACTCCACAGCTTCTGCACGGCAAAAAATAAAAGTCACTAGAGTGAATCGGCAACCAACAGAATGGGAAAAAATTTTGCAGTTTACCCATCTGACTAAGGGCTGATATCCAGAATTTACAAAGAACTCAAACAGATTTACAAGAAAAAAACAAACAGGCCCATTCAAAAATGGGCAAAGGATATGAACAGACACTTTACAAAAGAAGACATACATGAGGCCAACAAACATAGGAAAAAATGCTCATCATCACTGGTCATTAGAGAAATGCAAATCAAAACTACATTGAGATACCATCTCACGCCAGTTAGAATGGTGATCATTAAAAAATCTGGAGACAACAGGTGCTGGAGAGGATGTGGAGAAATAGGAACACTTTTACACTGCTGGTGGGAGTGTAAACTAGTTCAACCATTGTGGAAGACAGTGTGGTGATTCCTCAAGGACCTAGAAATAGAAATTCCATTTGACCCAGCAATCCCATTACTGGGTACATATCCAAAGGACTATAAATCGTTCTACTATAAGGACACATGCACATGAATGTTCATTGCAGCACTGTTTACAATAGCAAAGACCTGGAACCAACCCAAATGCCCATTGATGATAGACTGGACAGGGAAAATGTGGCACATACACACCATGGAATATTATGCAGCAATCAAAAACGATGAGTTCGTGTCATTTGTAGGGACATGGATGAATCTGGAGAACATCGTTCTCAGCAAACTGACACAAGAACAGAAAATGAAATACCACATATTCTCACTCATAGGTGGGTGATGAACAATGAGAACACATGGACACAGGGAGGGGAGCACTACACACTGGGGTCTATTGGGGGGAATAGGGGAGGGACAGCGGCGGGGGGAGCTGGGGAGGGATAGCCTGGGGAGAAATGCCAGATGTGGGTGAAGGGGAGGAAGACAACAAATCACTGCCACGTGTGTACCTATGCAACTATCTTGCATGTTCTGCACATGTACCCCAAAACCTAAAATGCAATAAAAAAAATGTTAACAAACTCTTCCATAAAATTTTCTAGATTCTCTGAACTGGCCAGATTTTTTTTGTATGAAGCCAAATCTGCCGTAGAAAATGACACATGTATTCTAAGTATTACCCCATTTCCATCAGCTACCTTCCACAATGGACACAAGTTTTATTTTAGAGGTTGATAAGGGGCCCCACTAGTGGTGGTACTGGTTAGGCTTACTGCCTTGGGAAGTGATGAGTATAGACTGGGGCTAGCTGGAGAAGGGTGGCTGATGACCTTGGGGTGGACTCCCTCAGAACTGGGGGACTGAGGAGACTCCAGGAAAGATGTAGGCTTTCTCGGGGGAGCAGCTAGGAGGGGAACCCTTAGGCATGGCTTCCTGGTTTCTGGAAGTAGCATGAGCCATCAAAGGCTGTACATAAGCGACCTCCTCCCATTTTCCTTCTTTTCTGCGGAATAAACCCGGTTGTAAAATCGCATTGCAATATATAGAACTAAATCTATGTATTAGGCCAAGTCTCTTGGTTTTCTAATTTGTTTTGGACCCAAGTGGTGCTGCAATAATAAACGAGTTTCTTTTTCTTTAAGTTGAATTTCAACTTGCTCCGACAGCCTAAAAGACACCCTGGTGGTGAGTATTCTGGGCTGCTCATCATTGTCTCCATGTCAACAAGAATTTATACTGGACATAGAAGTCTTTCTTTTTAATTTTAATTTAATTTTTTTAGATGGAGTTTCACTCTTGTTGCCCAGGCTGGAGTGCAATGGCATGATCTTGGCTCACTGCAACCTCTGTTTCCTGGGTTCAGGCAATTTTCCTGCCTCAGCCTCTTGAGAAGCTGGGATTACAGGCATACACCATCATGCCCAGCTATTTTGTATTTTTTTCTTACTGGAGACAGTGTTTCACCATGTTGGTCAGGCTGGTCTCGAACTCCTGACCTCAAGTGATCCACCCATCTCAACCTCCCAAAGTGCTGGGATTGCAGGGTGAGCCAGAAGTTTTTCTAAGTCTAGTGAGAGGGGAAAGCAACTGGGCTCTCATTATTTTTCCCTTTTAGATTCTCACTTCCTGCAGAAGAGTAAGCAGGGCATTATGACAGTGGAATAGGTGTTTTCCAGGGGATGAAGTATGACAAGAAAAGTATTTTTATCAAGCAAAATGTAGAAGGAAAGAAAGGTGTAAATGAAGTGACAATAGGAAAAGAAAATGCTCTTCCAGAAAATCGTAACTTTAAGGCAGAAAACAAGAAAAGGCAAGACCCAGATTCTCCTAGGGTGGGCCTCTATCTCACCATCCTGAGAGGGAGTGCCAGTGCCAAAAACCCTTGGAGTGTCTGGGGGGCAGGCAACGGCGAACCCCAAAGGCCTGGTTGGGGCCGCAGAACAACGTGACTCTGGTGTTCCAGGGTCAACACAACAGGGGACCTCTCAAAGACAAGTGTTTTGCTTTAAACAAGTGCCCGAATACAGTCTATCAGGGAACAAAGCAAAAACCACAAATGAAACATACATTTCAGAGCAAAAATTAAAATAAAATAAAAGGCTGGGCATGGTGGCTCATGCCTGTCACCTTTGCAGTTTGGGAGGCTGAAGCGTGTGGATTGCTTGGGAGGCTGAAGCGTGTGGATTGCTTGAGCTCAGCCCAGCCCAGCCTCTGGCGAGTCCTACAGCTCTGCAGCTTTTATTGCTGTAGCACCAACCACCATCTCCCTTCCTCCCATTCATTGCTGTCTTGCTGCTCCTCATTGCCTCTCTCTGATTGCTGCCTCTCCTGTCACACTGTCTTGCCAATTGCTGTCTAGCTCAGTGCCATTTCTCATCGTCTCTCATTGTTTCACCCCTCTGCCAATCACTGGTCACCAGCCTCACTGTCAGTCACTGTCTCTCACCATCTGTCCCTTGACTGCTGCCATCTCTGCTGTCTTTGTCATCTTTGTGGTCACCATATGATACAGAACAGGCGAGCCCCAAAATTGGGGCTGAGCTCGGGAGAGGTCTTGGCTTCACCCAGGGAAGAATTCAAGGGCGAGCCAGTGGTGTTGAACAATAGCAAATGTTACTGAATGGTGCTGCTCCTTTCAGAGCAGGGCTGCCTCACTGGCAGTGCACCCAGAGTAAGAAATGTGTGGGCTCTTGGCAATTGTGTTTATATTCACTTAAACACATTTGCAATGATATCCAAATGAGGGAGTGAGCCAGTGCAAATTGAGGGGCTGGTTATTCAGAACTTTCTAGGAAAGGGGAAGTCTAACTTCTGAGTTGTTGCCGTGGAATTTGTAAGATGTCATGGTACTTGTGGGAGTGTCTTACGCTAATGAAAAATGAGGGCAGCCGGGGATCACTTTCCCTGCTAGCTGCTGGTTCATGCCAGTATCCTCACCATGTTCTGTCTAGATTGGATCCTGTTCTACTCAGCAGTGTTGTGATCAGATAACAAGTCCTCCTGGTCTCCTACCTCAGAAAGAGCATACAGTTGGCTAATTGGAGTAATCTGGTGGGTGTGGGGGCGTAGGGCATCGTAGTCTAGTACCTGGCCTGATTTGATTCAGGGCAGGAGAAATACTGGTTTGGTGTGTGAGGATCAGATAAGAAAGTAGTTCAGAATACGGGCTGTGGATCCCAGGAAACATGGAAAACAACTTTAGCCGTTAGTCTGGCGCTTAGGTTAATGGATGCTAAATAGACAAATACAGAATCTGAGTAAACACAATGCAGTGCTCTGAACCAATGATCTACATGTGATGTTTTCTCTCTTTCGGTCATAATACGACAGTCTAGGAACCAAGGGTTAGAGGTAGGAGTGGCTTCTCTTACTTATACACAACGACCGTCTGTTCATCTGTTTGGGCTGCTAAAACAAAACACCATACGCTGGCTGGTTTATAAAGAACGGAAGTTTATTTCTCACAGTTCTGAAGCCTGGGAAGTTCGAGATCAAGGCACTATCAGATTTGGTATCTGGGGAGGACCATTTCTGGGTTCACAGACTGCGTCTTCTTGCTGCAGCCTCACCTGGTGGAAGGGGCAAGGCAGCTCTCCGGGCCCTTTTTAATAAAGGCACTGATCTCATTGATGACAGTTCCATCCTCATGAATAATCATCTCCCCCCAAGCCCTGTCTCCTAGTTCCATCACATTGTGGGTTGGGATTTCAACCTATAAATTTTAGGGAGACAAACGTTTAGACCATAGCACCATCTCATTACTTTTTTCATATCTCATTGGACATAGTTTTAGACTTACAGAGAACTTGCAAAAGTAGTACAAAGAGTTCTTGAATACTCCTCCCTTGGCTTCTCCTGTGGCCGCCTCTGGAGCCACAGCTGTGAAGATGCAGGCTGCAGCATGGGAGTTGTAGCAAAGGAGGTGCAGTGGAGGAAGCACAGCAAGGCCGTGAGCGCCAAGGAGCCGGCTCCTGCTGGGGAATCCGAAAACGTCTTGCCCCCTACTGAGTTGGTGGGGCAGGAGCCCGAGCCCCTGGTGCAGCTGCAGTGACCCAGTCACAGCTCCAGACCTGGGCTTCCCTGTGCTTTTGGAGGCCCAGGAAGCCTCTTGCCCTCAAAGGCTTGAAAGTGTCTGTTCCCATTCCCTGGCCTCTCCTTGCTCCTGGCACCCGCTCTGGGCTGGGGTGAAGTTGTGGCCGAGCCTGGGCACTGACACACCAGCTCCCTGCTGCCTCAGCTGCCTCCAGACTTTGGGCACTGATAAGCATGGGAGAGAGGCCAAGGCCAGCTGCGTTCAGGCATGCAGATGCCCCTCAGCAAGAACATCCTGGGCACTGTGGACAGCATGTTGATGGTGGCAGGAGGCAGACTGGCTCCTGGGTGGAAAGGGGCGGGTCCAGTGAAACCCTACCTTCAAGTCAGGGACCGCCTGAAGCCTGGGGACTGGGCTGCCAGTTCTGGGTGGAGTCCGAATTCAGAAGTGAAAATTTATGGTGTTCTTTTCCAGGCTTGCCCATGGCCATTCATGGACCAATCAGCACGACTTGCTCCCTTCTGAGCCCATCAACACCCAGGACTCAGGCAGACTCCAACCGACTTCAGGACTGCCAGCAGAGGGAAGGAGCTACACTCTTTGGGGCTCTTGGACTCTTCATGATGACCTCCATGCAGAAAGGAGCCACCTACTGGGGGTCTCCTCTCTGCTGAGAGCTGGACATTTGTGGAGACAACCTGGCTGCAGAAAGGAGCTACTCACTTTGGGTCTCCTGAGAGCTGTTCAGTTGCTCAGTGAAGCTCCTCTCCATTTTGCTCATCCTCCAGTTGTCCATGTGCTTTATTCTTCCTGGTCTCAGGACAAGAACTCAGGACCTGCCAGATGAAAGTGTAACACAAACAGGACTAAAACACACCTCTGCCACACATACCCCTTGCCATGTTGTGACAGATAAGGAGAGAAGAGTTGAGGCCCTTTGAGTACCCCAGACCAGGAGCTCCCCAAGCCAGGGCTGTGACAGCCTCTTTCGGGCTCTGTGGTTCCTGGCATCTCCAAGCTTCTGGGTGCCACTGTGTTTCCCTCGTCCAGATGCAGGTGCCCACAGTGGAAGCTGTGTGTGGTACATCTGGTCCAGTGGCAGCCTTGCGTGGAGCGAGCACCTGTGTCGACACCTAGAGCTGCTTGCCCTGCAGCATCAGCCAGCGTGACTGTTGTGTGCAGTGGTTAGACCCCAAACTCGCTGGCTCACACACCCCTTGCTTGCCTTTGGCAGGTGTGGGATCTTGGCTGCTGGCACTAGCCAAACACAGCCTGCCAGGCCGAGTGGGCAGAAGGAGCCCAGCAGGTGCAAAGCCCAAGTATAGGTACTGCAGGCCTCAGAAGTTTCCAGCTGGCAAAGCGGCACCCTAAGGGTTATGACACTAATATAATCCGTATCCACAGTCCAGTGATCAAAACGAGGAAATCTACACTGATGGAATAAGACTGATCTTTCGTTGTTATTAGACTTTTGCCAGTTTTCCCATTAATGCCCTTTTGCTGGTCCAGGGTCTCACATTGCATCTAGCTTCCATGCCTTCTAGTCTTCTATCTGTGACACTTGCTCTGTGATTCTGTGATGACTGTGGCTTGAGCACTGGCCATTATTTTGTAGACTATCTCTCCATTAGGATTTGGCTGATGTTTTCTCCTAATTAGATGGATGGTATGTATTTTTGGCAAGAGTGTCACGTAAGTGCTCTCGTGCCCTTCTCAATGCAGCACATTACTGCTCCTACTGCCGGTGGTTTGCACTGATCACTTGCTTAAGGTGGTGTCTGTCATCGTCAGAGTTCCTCACTGTGAAGTTACTAGTCTTTATTTTGTAACCATAAATGTCTTATGGGGAACTATTTTGAGACTATGCAAATAACCTGTTCCTCGTCATGCTTTTGCCCATGTATTTGAGCACTGATTCATGATTCTTGCTCGAAACAATTATTATTATGGTGTTTGCCTAATGGTGATTTTCTATTTCCATCATTCTTTCTACATTTCTTTTCTTTTCTGAGACAGAGTTTCACTCTGCTGCACAAGCTGGAGTACAGTAGTACACTCATGGCCCACTGCAGCCTTAACCTTCTGGGCTCAAGCAATCCTCCTGCCTCAGCCTCCTAAGTAGCTAGGATTACAGGCACACACTGTCATGCCCAGTTAATTTTTAAAATTTTTTGTAGAGATGAGGTCTTATTTTATTGCCCAGGCTATACATTTTAAAAATTTGCATTCTGGGGCTGTTCTTTCTCCCTAATTTATTTATTCACTATTTATTTACATCAACATGGGCTTATGGATACTTACTCTACAGATTTTAATTTAGGCCAGGCATGGTGACTCACACCTGTAATCCCAGCACTTTCAGGTGGACAGATCACTTGAGTCCAGAAGTTTGAGATGAACTGGGCAAAATGCTAAGACCCTGTCTCTACTAAAACTACAAAAAAACTAGCCAGGCCTGGTGGTGCAAGCCTGCAGTCCCAGCTACTCAGGAGATTGAGGTGGGAGGGTCACTTGAGCCTGGGAGGTCTACGCTGCAGTGAGCCCTGATCATGCCACTGCACTCCACTTTGGGTCATAGAGTGAAACTCTACATCAAAATGTAAAAAATTTAATTCATTACTCTCGTTATTTATTTTGTTGCTCAACTTGTTCCAGATTTGGCCATTGAGATGTCTTTCAATTTTGCTGCTTTTGTACATTCATCCTTTAAAAAAATCTTATATCAATATTTATTTCATCTACTGTAAGATGTTCCCTTTTAGCTGGGCATGGTGGCATGCATCTGTAGTCTCAGCTACTCAGGAGACTCAGGTGGAAGGATCCCTTGGCCCCAGGAGTTCAAGATCAGCCTTGGCAACATAGCAAGACCCCATCTCAAAAAAAGAATCCCTTTAAAGTGTAAAATTCAGTCATCTTAATATATTTATAAGACTCTGGGATCATCGCAGCTACCTAATTCCAAAATGTTTTCATTACCCCCAAAGGAAATGCCGTATCTGTTTGGTTACTTCTATTTCTCATTTCCCCAGCTTCCGGCACCATTAATTTACTTTCTTTCTTTATGAATTTGCCTATTTTGGACATTTCATATAAATTGAACCATATAATGTGCGGCTTTTTGTGTCTGGCTTCTTTCACTTAGCATGGTATTTTTAAGGTTGAACCGTGATGCTGCGTGTATCAGTATTTCATTCCTTTTCATGAGTGAGTAACACGACACCGTCTCGCTAAACATGACGTTTCTCCATTTCCCCACTGGTGTATATCGGTTTGTGCTGTGGTTTGAATATTTGTGTCCCCTCCAAACTTCATGTTGAAACTTAATCCGCAATGCAGTAGTATTGAGAGGGAGGATCTTTGGGAGCTGACGAGGCCATGAGTGACCACTGAGGACACTACAATAATGTGCCATCTCGGAAGCAGAGACTGAACCCTTCCTCGACACCAAGCCTGCTGGAGACCTGATCTTGGACGTCCCAGCTTCCAGAATTGTGATAAATAATATTTTATTGTTTATAAATTACCCAGTCTGTAGTATTTCGTTACAGCAGCACAAGTGGACTAAAACAGGTTCTTTCCACCACACCCGGCTAATTTTTGTATTTTTAGTAGAGACGGGGCTTCACCATGTTGGCCGGCCTGGTCTGGAACTCCTGACCTCAGGTGATCCACCCACCTTGCCCTCCCAAAGTGCTGGGATTACAGGTGTGAGCCACTGTGCCCAGCCCATGGTTCTTTTTGAATCTGTCATTAGGCCAGGCACAGTGGCTCATGTCTATGAGCCACTAACCCCAGCACTGTGTGTCTGTCTCTCCCCCAGTACCATAATGTTTTCATTAGTACAGCTAACAGTAATCTTGAAATTAGGTTGAGTGATTTTTCCCACTTTATTGTTCTTTTTCAGTTTTAACAATTTTAGAGCCTATGATTTTCCATATAAATCACAGAACAAACTGTCTGTGTCAGCAAAATTCCATCCTGGAATTTTAACAGGAATTGCATTAAAGCTACAGTTCAGCTTCAGTCCAGGAGCTTGATGCTGCAGTGAGCCATGATCGCACCACTGCACTCCAGCCTGGCGACAGAGCAAGACCCCGACTCTAAAACAAAACACAACAAAAAACCCTATAAATCAATTTAGGGATAATTGATGTTTGCTATGTTACATCTTTAAATATGTGAACACAATATGCCTCTCCATTTATTTCGGTCTTTTATTTCTTTCATTCGCACTTTATAATTTTCAGCAAAAGGCTGGGCACGGTGGCTCACGCCTGTACTCCCAGCACTTTGGGAAGCCAAGGCGGGTGAATCATGAGGTCAGGGGTTCAAGACTAGCCTGGCCAACATGGTAAAACACCATCTGTACTAAAAATACAAAAATTAGCTGGGCATGGTGGCATACGCCTATAATCCCAGCTACTCAGGAGGCTGAGGGAGGAGAACTGCTTGAACCAGGACCTGGGAGGTGGAGGTTGCAGTGAGCTGAGAGCCCGCCACTGCACTCCAGCCTGGGCTACAGAGGGAGACTCTGTACCCGCCATTCAAAAAAAATCTCAGCAAACATATCCTACGTATGTTTTGTTAGGCTTCTACCTATTTCATTTTTTTTCTTTTTTCTTTGTTAGTTTCACCTAATAAAGCAGAGTATTTCATTTTCTTTGGAATGAGTGTACATGGTATTGTGTTTTAAATTTTGGTTTCCATATGTTCATTGTTAGTATATAGAAATGTGAGTAATTTTATGTTGCTCTTCATCTGCAACTTTGCTGAACTGACTTAATTCGTTCTAGGAGGATTTCTGCTGTCTTTTTACCTTGTTTATGGTGATTTTTGTCATGCAATTTAAAAAATGTAGTCAAGCTATTATTCTTTTCTTTTATTGTCCCTGGATTTTTTTTTTTTTTTTTTTTTGAGTCAGGGTCTCCCTCTGTCACCCAGGCTGGAGTGCAGTGGTGCAATCTTGTCTCACTGCAACTTCTGCCTCTAGGCTCAAGCAGTGCTCCCACCTCAGCCTCCTGAGTAGCTGGGACCACAGGCAGGCACCACAACGCTCAGCTAATTTTTGTACTTTTTGTAGAGAAGGTGTTTCACCATGTTGCCCAGGCTAGTCTGAAACTTCTGGGCTCAAGCGATCTGCCATCCTCAGCCTCCCTGAGTGCTGGGACTACAGGTGTGCACCACTGCCCCTAGAGGATTTTATTTTTTTTAACATGAATTCCTACTCTTGCCTAGGCTGAATTGCAATAGTGTAATTTTAGCTCACTGCAACTTTGAACTCCTGGGCTCACGCAATCCTCCTGCCTCAGCCTTCCAAGTAGCTAGGACTATAGGCATGTGCCACCATGCCCAAATAATTTTTTAATGTTTTGTAAAGATGGGATTTGGTTTTGTTGCCTGAGCTGATCTCAACCTCTTGGCCTCAAGTTATTCTCCCATCTCAGCCTCCCGAAGTGCTGGGATTACAGGTGTCAGCCACTGCATCTGACCTATTTTTTTTTAAGCAGTCAGAAATTCGGTGAATATATTTTGTTTTAATGTCTGACAGAGCTAGTCTTCATCACGGTTATTTCTTTTTTGGTATTTTTGTGGCTATTCTTGCAGGTTTTTCTATGTAAATATTAGTTATCAATTTATGTAATGCATGTAAAAGCTTATTGGCATTTTTGTTGGGATTGCATTAAATCTATAAAGTAACTAAAGGAAAGCCAACATCTTTATAATGTTGGGTTGTCCTACCTGTGTATGTAAGTCTATCTTTGTGACTTTTGGGAGTATTTAAAAATTTCCCCATATAAGTTTTGCACATTTCCTGATACTTTTATTTCTAAATATT